TGGAGGGGGCTCAATTCTTTCCCTTGCCCCAATAGGGGCAGGGTCTGGGCGTGGAACAGCGGTCACTGGGTGTGTGTGTGTGTGGAGGGGGAGGTGTTTGTGAATTTCCTGCATTGTGCAGGGGGTTGGACTAGATGACCCTTGAGGTCCCTTCCAACACTATGATTTCAGGGGTTGCCAGAGGTCGCCATGACTTCGAGGCACGGGCGCACACACACACACACACACACAAAATGCAAAAAGACCAAAAGAAAAGGGAAGCAGCAACTACATGAAACAACCTGCCCACCGTTGTGTGCCCCCCACCCAAAATGCAATCAGTTCAGTTCATTTTATTTCGGTACGTAACCAGCACCAATCAGTTAGTAACGTAGTTGGATACCATCAGGGCTTTTTTGGTAGAAAAAGCCCAGCAGGAACTCATTAGCATAATAGGCCACACCCAACAGCAGGAACTCATTAGCATATTAGGCCACACCTCTGACCAACTCATTGGCATATTAGGCCACACCCCCATGTTACCAGAAGAGTGGTCATCCAGCCACACCCACCTTTTGCTTCTTATTCTGTTGACCTTGTTTGTTGTCCAAACCCAGGGCCTTTTTTTGTAGCAGGAACTCCTTTGCATGTTAGGCCACACACCCCTAATGTAGCCAATCCTGATGAGTGTCTGCTGTTGGGTGTGGCCTATTATGCTAATGAGTTCCTTCTGGGCGTGGCCAACTTGGGAGGCAGCCGGAACTCCGTTCCTGTGCGTTCCTGCCCAAAAATAGCCCTGGATACCATACTCTAGGGGCACACAGCCGTTAACTTGAAAATAATTACATAAAAACTTTAACAAAATGCCGTCAGTTTTTCCTCACCTCCGGCGTCATCCGGCTGATGGTGGGGATATCGTACCCGGCGTTGATGAAGTTGGAGGCGTAGAGCTGCAGCTGGAACTTGTAAAGCCACTGGTATACGGCCTCCGAGCTCTAGGGGAAGGGGGGAAGAGGGAGATAATGGAGGGGAGCCATGCTATCTGTCTGTCTGCACCTGCCTGATCCCCTTTCTAAACCAGTTCTCCCTTGGCCCTGAGCCCTGGCAGTTAGGAGGGCGAAGCGTCGGCCGGAACGGACTTGTCGTGAGCTGCTGTCGCTGGACGTTGACGGTGGTGCGGCTGCCCTGCTAACCCTGAGCACCGCATTCATCTCTCTGTAACCTCGGCAGTATCCATGCGGGGGCCGACTAAGGGGGACGAGGGAGGCTTGGCTTACGGCCACACCACCAGTTTGGTGTAGTGGTGAAGTGCGCGGACTCTAATCTGGGAGAACCGGGTTTGATTCCCCGCTCCTCCACTTGCGCCTGCTGGATGACCTTGGGCAAGCCATAGTTCTGATAAGAGCTGTTCTTGAAAAAAAGAGCAGTTTCTGTCAGAGCTCTCTCAGCCCCGCCTACCTCCCAGGGTGTCTGTTGTGGGGAGGGGGAGGGAAAGGAGATTGTCAGCCGCTCTGAGACTCCTTTGGGTAGTGAAGGGCAGGGTATAAATCCAATCTCTTCTTCTTCTTCTTTTACCTCACAGGGTGTCTGTTGTGGGGAGGGGAAGGGAAAGGAGTTTGTCAGCCGCTCTGAGACACCTTTGGGTAGTGAAAGGCGGGGTATAAATCCAATCTCTTCTTCTTCTTCTTTTACCTCACAGGGTGTCTGTTGTGGGGAGGGGAAGGGAAAGGAGTTTGTGAGCCGCTCTGAGACTCCTTTGGGTAGTGAAGGGCAGGGTATAAATCCAATCTCTTCTTCTTCTTCTTTTACCTCACAGGGCGTCTGTTGTGGGGAGGGGAAGGGAAAGGAGTTTGTCAGCCGCTCTGAGACTCCTTTGGGTAGTGAAGGGCGGGGTATAAATCCAATCTCTTCTTCTTCTTTTACCTCACAGGGTGTCTGTTGTGGGGAGGGGAAGGGAAAGGAGTTTGTGAGCCGCTCTGAGACTCCTTTGGGTAGTGAAGGGCAGGGTATAAATCCAATCTCTTCTTCTTCTTTTACCTCACGGGGTGTCTGTTGTGGGGAGGGGGAGGGAAAGGAGATTGTCAGCCGCTCTGAGACTCCTTTGGGTAGTGAAGGGCAGGGTATAAATCCAATCTCTTCTTCTTCTTCTTTTACCTCACAGGGTGTCTGTTGTGGGGAGGGGAAGGGAAAGGAGTTTGTCAGCCGCTCTGAGACTCCTTTGGGTAGTGAAGGGCAGGGTATAAATCCAATCTCTTCTTCTTCTTCTTTTACCTCACAGGGTGTCTGTTGTGGGGAGGGGAAGGGAAAGGAGTTTGTCAGCTGCTCTGAGACTCCTTTGGGTAGTGAAGGGCAGGGTATAAATCCAATCTCTTCTTCTTCTTCTTCTTTTACCTCACAGGGTGTCTGTTGTGGGGAGGGGAAGGGAAAGGAGTTTGTGAGCCGCTCTGAGACTCCTTTGGGTAGTGAAGGGCGGGGTATAAATCCAATCTCTTCTTCTTCTTTTACCTCACAGGGTGTCTGTTGTGGGGAGGGGAAGGGAAAGGAGTTTGTCAGCCGCTCTGAGACACCTTTGGGTAGTGAAGGGCGGGGTATAAATCCAATCTCTTCTTCTTCTACGGCGAGGCTGGTCTCCCAGACCACACAAACATCTTTGTCTTGTGTCTGTAGATTTTGCTGCTTAACCTTCCTTTTCTTGGTCCAGTATTCACTTATTGGTTATCTTATTGTAATATGTATTAAAGTTACATGTACCTCAATACTGTTTGACCTCTGAAGAAGGCCCCAATAGGGCGGAAGTGCGTCAGGTCGTGTGCAATCTTCCCTCTAAGCTGTGGAGTCTAGTGAGCAAAAATTCTACTTTGTGAGCTACTGGTATTAAAGTTGTGAGCGAGGGGTTTGGCTGCTGCCTGAATTAGCTTGCTCTCGAGCCATCCTTCCTGAGCGAAGCCAAAAATGTGTGAGCTGGAGGCTAAAAAACTGTGAGCTGGCTCGCACTAACTCAGCTCAGAGGGAACACTGGTCGTGCGTATCGGCCCTGGTGTTTAGGCCACTAATACTTTTTAACGAGCTTTTCATTGGGCCCTTATATGTTTTAAACTGTCTTTCTAATAAATACATGTATTTTTGTAAATTACAGGGCTTTTTTTGTAGAAAAAGCCCAGCAGGAACTCATTAGCATAATAGGCCATACCCAACAGCAGGAACTCATTAGCATATCAGGCCACACCCATGACAGCACAGCTCATTCGCATATTAGGCCACACCCCCATGTTACCAGAAGCGTGGTCATCCAGCCACACCCACCTTTTGCTTCTTATTCTCTTTATCTTGTTTGTTGTCAAAACCCAGGGCTTTTTGCATGTTAGGCCACACACCCCTAATTGTAGCCAGTCCTAATGAGTTTCGGCTGTCGGGCGTGGCCTGTTATGCTAATGAGCTCCTGCTGGGCGTGGCCAACTTGGGAGCCAGCCGGAACTCCGTTCCTGTGCGTTCCTGCCCCAAAATAGCCCTGGTAAATTATAAGTTTCCACTAGGTTTTTAATACTGGCCCTTGATCAGACTCCTTTCTTACCCTTGTGGTTCTTGATCCCAGTTTTTGGGTCAGGTTTGTTTCCCTGTGCCTTACCGTTCCCAGACCAGGTGGTTCACACCTACCTTCCCCTCCGACATGGGCTCCACCTTTTTAACCGGCTGCTCGCCATAGGGCTGGCCGGGGTACAAGGGGCCGCTGAGACTCGGCGTCCGGGAAGAACCTGGCAGGAAGGAGGAAGGGGAAGCCATCAGTGTGATGAAGGCCGTCCGGGACTCGGGACATGGACACGGTTTAGGCTCCCGGCCCCAGGTCGATGGCCAGCCGGTATGGCTCCTCCCCTGCGTGGAAACATCGCTCTGCACAAGACGTCCCTGGGTCTAAGAGTGAATCCTCCTTGTTTCCGGTATCGTCTACCTGCTTTAGTTTGTTCCTTGCATTGTGTCCTAATCCTCATCTTACTGCACTGTTTGTTGGTGGGCTTCTGTCCTGTCGTCTTCCCAGCATCTCAGCAAGAAAAGTGGACAATGCATGAAGTACAAAGAGTCGGAGTAATACTAATTGTAGATTGCAGGGGGTGGTGGTTAAGGCTGAGTGAAGAGTTAGGGGGCAGCGATCGGAGGAGACATGTCCAATTTCCGACGGGGCCACTCTCTGCCAGAGAAGGAAAATGCTGTTTTCCAGCCTCCGTTGTGAAAACGGACAACAGTTAAATTAGTTGTTGTAGATTTCCCAGGCTGTGTGGCTGTGGTCTTGGCGCTGTAGGACCTGACGTTCCGCCAGCAGCTGTGACTGGCATCCTCAGAGGTATAACACGGAAAGAGGGAGTACTCTCTGTGTCGAGGTGAGAAGAAAATTTATAATGACTCAGCCCTACCCCACTAATTAATAGGAAACAGAGAGTGAGTATAAATGGGCAATTTTCTCAGTGGAGGGTGGTAAGCAGTGGGGTACCGCAGGGATCAGTACTCGGTCCGATGCTCTTTGTTTATTAATGATTTGGAGTTGGGAGTAAGCAGTGAAGTGGCTAAATTTGCAGATGACACGAAGTTGTTCAGGGTGGCGAGAACCAGGGAGGATTGTGAGGCACTCCAAAGGGATCTGTCGAGGATGAGCAAGTGGGCGTCAACGTGGCAAACGGGGTTCAAATGATGCACACTGGAGCCAAAAATCCTAACTATAAATACACGTTGATGGGGTCCGAACTGGCAGAGACTGACCAAGAGAGAGATCTTGGAGTCGTAGTAGATAACTCCATGAAAATGTCTAGACCAGGGGTGTCGAACTCATTTGTTATGCGGGCCGGATCTGACATAAATGAGACGTTGTTGGGCCGGGCCGTGTGTGTCATAAAATGTAATGCCAGGGAGTGGAGATTATTTATAAAGGACACAAACACAATGGTGGTTTTTTCCCCTTAAAATAAAAACACGCTTAAAACATTAGCCCTCTTGCCATATTTTGTTTATTTAACAGTGTCTGATATAACTGACCCCTCTTGCTCTGAATTATTGCATCAAAATGTCTGTGCTGTTGCAACCTTGAGTACGCTGTTCAGGTGTGTATCTGTAAGCTGCAAACCTACAATGACGCAGCAGCAGCAGCAGAACTGGAAGAAGAAGCAGAAGACAGCCAGTTCCACTGCGGGCCTGATAGAAGCCCTCCGGGGGCCTGATCCGGCTCCCGGGCCGCATGTTTGACACCCCTGGTCTAGACAGTATGCGACTGCAATAAAAAAGGCCAACGCTATGCTCGGGATTATTAGGAAGGAAATTGAAAACACAGAGTGTTGGACTGGATGGGCCATTGGCCCGATCCAACATTGGCTTCTCTTACGTTCTTATGTTCACCTTCCTGAGTGGACATAAATTACCTGCCTACCCTTTTTCTTCTCACCTTGACCCAGAGAGTACTCCATCTTTCCGTGTTATGCCTCTGAGGATGCCAGTCACCGCTGCTGGTGGAACGTCATGTCCTACAATGCCAAGACCACAGCCCCACGGCCCGGAAAATCTACGACGACGAATACACTCCGGCTGCGAAAGCCTTCGGCAGCAAGCCGTCAAACTGTCACCTTCCCCTCCCCACTCTGCTTGTTACGTTTACGACGTTAAAAAAACCAAATCCAAAACATCAGACACCGCCCCCCCAAAAAGGAGTGAAACAAAAAGACGCCCGATGGGCAATGCTCCCTCTAAGCTGTGGAGTCTTGTGAGCAAAATTCTACTTTGTGAGCTCCTGGCATTAAAGTTTTGAGCGAGCCATTTGGCTACTGCATCAATTAGTTTGCTCTGGAGCCCATCCCTTCCCGAGCTAAGGCAAAAAGGTGTGAGCCAGAGGCTAAAAAACTGTGAGCTGGCTCACATAACTCAGCTTAGAGGGGACACTGCCAATGGGAACGTGGAAAAACAAACGGGGACAGAGAAGGTTCAGCCTCTTCATTCAGGTGACAAGCAGTAAGGAAGAGC